CATAGGCTGTAGTATCTATTACGAACTTCAAATACCAAATTTGAAACAATTCTGGTGAAAAATGTCGCTAAAATCACCAAAATGCCGAATATCGGGAGGTCCCATTATGTGGGGGCTATACCAAAACCTAGACCTACATGGCTCATTTTCTGTCTTCGGCTGTGGTAACCATTTCGAACTTCTAATACCAAATTTGAAACAATTCCGGTGAATAATGTCGCTAAAATCATCAAAATACCGAATATCGGAAGGTACTATTATATGGCGGCCATATCAAAACGTGGATCTACATGATCCATTTTCTATACCAAAAGTCCCGCAGACATAATATACATTGGATTAAAATTTTATCAACCTTCTTCATTTCGTTTTGGAGCTAGAGCGGTTTCCACAGACTGACAGACGGTCGGACATCGCTAAATCGACACAGAATTTTATGCTGATCATGAATATATACACTTTGTGGGGTCTAAAACTTATATTTCGAGGTGCTACAAATGCAATGACAAACTTAATATACCCTCCATACTGGAGTGTATAAAAAAATTCTGGTCAATCCGAACATAGCCCAAAAACACAACTTGAGTCATAAATATTTTTCACGGACTATCAATAATCTAAGAATTTAAAAAAAAAAAATTGTTTTCAATTTTGACCTTCTGTACAAGGCACTCCTTGGAAATTTAATCTAAGAGTAGAACCGGGTAAAACCCGGATAACTGGGTATTTCTCCCCACGAAAAAATTGATTTGCCTTAATCAGCTTAAAACCAGTAAAGAAAGCTTAAAACCAGTAAAGAAAGTCTTAAAGTCATGCGGAGCCGACTTTATGATACCCTACTCCACTTTGCTAATTTAGTAGAGCTCCGCATAACAATTAAATGTTTTCGTCGGAGAATTCAATCATACACGCTATGATTTTAATTATAATTTAAAGTTCAAAGGACTAAATATGCCGAAGCATTTGTATCTTTTAAATTCGAACTTGTATTGCCCACTTGGTGCACAATTAATTTGAAATCGGGTAAATATATATATGGAAGCTATATCCAAATCGGAACCGATCTCGATGAAATTGGACAAAGATATTTATAAGCTGTATTTGATATATTTCCCTGAATATCGTTGTTACGGAGTGCATATTACGGCTGTGGGTAACAAATATGACAAATCGGATGAACAGTATATATGGGAGCTATAGCTATATCTGAACCGATCTTCACCAAATTTGGCATACTAGCTTCTAGACTCAATTCGGTCGTAAGTGCCAAATTTCATCCCATTTGGGCAAATATTAGACGTTTGGTGCACAATCAAAGGTAAATCGGACGAAGTTATATATGGGAGCTATATCCAAATCGGAACCGATCTCGATAAAATTTAGCAAATGTATTTCTGAGCTGTATTTGATATATTTCCGCAAATATTGTTGTTACAGAGAGCATATTACGGCTGCGGAGGACAAAAATAACAAATCGGATGAACAATATATATGGGAGCTATAGCTATATATCTGAACCGATTTCGATCAAATTTGGCATACGTATTTTCAGGCCTAATGTGGTTTTATGTGCGAAATTCCATATGCTTATATTACACGTTTAGTGCACAATTAAAGGCAAATCGTACGACGATATATATGAGAGCTATATCTAAATTTTGACCGATTATCTCCAATTTCAATAGGGTTTGGCCCAAGGACGAAACAAATGATTTGTGCAAAATTTCATCTGGATAGGACAATAAATGCGAACTGTACTTTGTTTACAAAAACACATGGACAAACGGACGGACAGACATAAATCGACTCAGAATGTAATTCTATGCAGATCCTCAAAAATAGCTATGGGTCTATCTCGTTTCCTTTTGCCTGTTACAAACAAATGCACAAAGACATAATACCCTGACCACCTTGTGGTATAGGGTATAAATACCAACAAGTGATAAAAAATTCAGTATAATCCTAGAATAGCGCCTAAACACAACTTAAACCACAAATATTTTTCACGAACCACCGACAATCCCAGAATTTTCAAAAAAAAAAAAAAAATAGTTTTCAATTCTGCCCTTTTGTATAAGACATTATTTGGGAATTCAATCTAAGCTGAATTGAATTTTCTATATTTTCCCTTTACTTTGATATGTCGCCTGTGCAGCTCTCCCCACTCTCTCTCTCTCTCTCTCTCTCTCTCTGTCACTCTCATGATGATTCCCCATTTGATTCTATTCCTCCTCCTCTTACATTGCCTTAATCACCTTCCAAATACAAACAAGTGAAATTCAGGTCAATCCGAGAATAGCGCCTAAACACAACTTAAACCACAAATATTTTTCACGAACCACCGACAATCCCAGAATTTTCAAAAAAAAAAAAATAGTTTTCAATCCTGCCCTTTTGTGTACGGCATTCCTTGGGAATTCAATCTAAGCTGAATTGAATTTTCTATATTTTCCCTTTACTTTGATATGTCGCCCGTGCAGGCAATAGTACGCTCTCCCCACTCTCTCTCTGCCCCTCTCATGATGGTTCCCCATTTGATTCCATTCCTCCTCCTCTTACTTTGCAATAAATAACCTTCCAAATACCAACAAGTAAAATTCAGGTCAATCCGAGAATAGCGCCTAAACACAAATTAAACCACAAATATTTTTTACAACAATCCCAGAATTTTCAAAAAAAAAAAAAAAAATAGTTTTCAATTCTGCCCTTTTGTATAAGGCATTCCTTGGGAATTGAAATTTTCATTTTTTCCCTTTACTTTGATATGTCTGCCTGTGCAGCCAGTAGTGCTCTCCCACCTCTTTCTCTCTGTCACTCTCATGATGATTCCCCATTTGTTGCCATTCCTCCTCCTCCTTCTCTTCTGTTTTTTTTATCTGAGAATCCTTATAATTTGTAACTGTTGTTTTACATTTGATGATTTAGTGGCACCAAAAGCCATTGGAATTTCATTGTTTGTTTTTTTCCACGAGCGTTTTATAGTTTATTTTTCAGAGCTTTCTCTCTACCTCCCTCCCTCTGCTACTCCATTCTTTTAAGCAAATGATAAATGAAACTTTAGTGGCTTCTGACCCATTTAATGGAATTTCTTAAAAAAAAATGAAAAAAATGGAAACTGTTTGCAAAAGTTTCTCGCGTAGCTTCATCATTATCATGTGCAGGAAATGCATAGGGAAAAAACCATGAATGAACAATCAAGAGCCAGCATCTTTGCAAACAACTAATCGAGGTTGTGACGTTCACAGGTTCATACGTCCATCCTCTCCTCTCTCTCTCTTCCTCGCCAACCAATGTTTGCAAATTACATTAGGTTGTGGATATTTACTTGGCGCTTGGCTTGCTCCCCTCTCACTCTCTCTCTCTCTCTCCAACTCTCGTTGTGTAACATTTTCTTGAAATATGTCAGAAACAATTACTCTCTGTAAAGGTTTTTGTTGTTATTGTTATTGTAGCTACAACGGAGGAAATACAATTAATTAATGTTGAAGGACTTTGCTGATTTGATGCCATACACAAGGAACGTGTGTTTTTTTGTTTCTGTTTCCTCAAATTAATTAACTAAAATGATGCATGGAGGGAGGTATTGAAGCTGGATTTTTTTTCCAATGGAATATTTGGAGAATTTGATTCATTTCAATTCAGCTTTTCCTCAAAACCATCTTCAAATCTGTTCATCTAAATTTAGGTTTAATCTGCGGGAATAAAATAATTTATTTGTTGTCGCATTTTTATACCCTTGGCCATATGATTAGAGAGGGTAATTTGATCATTTGATGCGTCCTAAACGTGCCTCATCGAAATAAAGGTTTTAGAGCCCAGGTCTCTTTGGACCAAATCCATTCCAGGACATTTGGAGTTGATCTAGCGATGTCCGTCCGTCCGTCCGTCCGTCTGCCTGTCTGGCTGGCTGGTTCGGGTGATAATTATTGAAGGGAGTATCCGATTTGATCCAAACTTGGAATATCGTAATATTATTCTCAAACTTAGACCTACTTCGGACATGGGCAATATCGGTCCCCTCCTTCTGGTAGCTCCCCTACAAAAGTTCGAAATTTTAAAATAAATATATTTTCTGCACAGACGGAGAAGGGATCATACGATTTTGCTCCAACCTTGCAAATCCTAATATTTACATCAGCGCTAGGTCAGGTGCAAAAATTGGCCATATCGGTCTTCTCCATCCCGTACCTCCCCCACAAAGGGTTAAATTTTTGAATAATTTTAACTCTTACAGAATGTGATGTAAGTGTCCGATTGTCTTCATATTACGCACATCACAATATTTTTATTAACCCCAGGGCTGGTGTAAAGATGGGATATATCGGTCCACTCCTTCTAGTACCTCCCCCACAAAGGGTTAAAGTTTTGAATATTCATGAAGCTTATAAAAACGAAATTAACGTCCGATTCCATTCAGACTTGGTACATCTCAATATTTCCATAAACACAAAATCTGTTATGAAGATGGTAGAGATCGGACCATTCCTTCTGGTACCTCCCCCACAAAGGGTCAAAGTTTAGAATAACAAAAAACGGTCATAAAATCCGAAATAAGCATCCGGTTCTCTTTAAATTACACACATCACAATATTTTTATTAACCCAAGGTCTGGTGCGAAGATGGAATATATCGGTTCACTCCTTCTGGTACCTCCCCCACAAAGGGTTGAAGTTTTGAATATTCATGAAGCTAATAAAACACGAAATTTACCTCCGATTCCATGCAGACTCGATATATCTCAATATTTCCATCAACACAAGATCGGTTATGAAGATGGTAGAGATCGGACCATTCCTTCTGGTACCTCCCCCACAAAGGGTCAAAGTTTAGAATAACAAAAAACGGTCATAAAATCCGAAATATGCAACCGGTTCTCTTCAAATTACACACATCACAATATTTTAGATAGCCCGAGGTTTGGTGTGAAGGTGAAATATATTGGTCCACTCCTTCTGGTACCTCCCCCACACAAAACGGGTTTTTGGGTTTGGGTTTTGGGATTTTTTCTTTCTTAATAAAACATATTATCTACTCTTTCTCTTACACCTCACAAGCCTCAATCTCATTTATGGTGGTGTAGATCCTAGAATGTTTCATTTCCGTTGGAATATTCAAAAACAGCGACTGAGCAAAGTTATAGTACAAAACCGACTCTTCGGGAAAGGCCAAATTGAAGAGGAAATACAATTCCATACATAGTTCGGCCGCTTGCAGAACCGTTTGGCAGGGTAAATACATTTCCTCAAAATAGACATAAGATTCTCGAATATCTCCACCCAATTCGCCGACCACCAACATCATGGGTGGGGTGGCAGTTTGCCGTAATTTCATGGCCTCTTCAAGTTCGGCCAGGGAGCTACGTATACAGATGCTGGCATTCTGTGATTCCAAGGTGGTATAGCGTTTTTTACGGCGTACACCATTCTCATCGATGACCACTTGATGGAATGGCGGCACAAGCTGATGCAGAACCCACAAAATAATCAAGTGCTTGGATTCTGGAAAAGAAAGAGAGGAAGAGAATAAATTTTGAAAACTGAAAAATTGCTTCCTTTTTTCCCTTACCTGTATTGCAGTGCTTATACTGCTGCATATACTTAAAGCTCGGCGATGTCGTATTGACTTTGAGATATGAAATCTTTTCCAATTTTTTGAAATTTTTGAGAAAAATTTCGGAAAATTTTGTGGCCTTGGGAAATTTGGCCCTGAAGTCGGCGTTGATCTGAAAAAAAAAAAAAAATAATAAAATTTCGGTTTTAAGAGACCCATTGCCGGTCTTACATATTCCATGGCATCCGTTCGTTTGTATTCAGGCCATTTATCCAAAATATCCTGCAAGGATTCAATGATTTCAATATCCCTGAAACGAGTCGATTGGGTGCGTTGCCAGAAACTCATGCGCTCCTCATTGCTTTGGATATGCTTGCGCATATCTAGGATATGGAAATCGGCGAACTCATCAACGTATTCTTCTTCCTCTGGAAAAAGGGAGGCAGATGTTTTAAAGGGAACTGGGCTAAATTGAAGATTTCCTAACGGAATCTTTAGTCAGCCGGGTTGAATTAAAAATTTCCTAACGGAATCTTTAGTCAGCCGGGCTGAATTGAAGATTTCCTAACGGAATCTTTAGTCAGCCGGGTTGAATTAAAAATTTCCTAACGGAATCTTTAGTCAGCCGGGCTGAATTGAAGATTTCCTAACGGAAAACTTAATTCAGACGGGCTGAATTGAAGATTTCCTAACGGAAAACTTAATTCAGACGGGCTGAATTGAAGATTTCCTAACGGAAAACTTAATTCAGCCGGGCTGAATTGAAGATTTCCTAACGGAAAACTGAATTGGAGATTTCCTAACGGGAAACTTAATTCAGCCGGGTTGAATTGAAGATTTCCTAACGGAATCTTAATTCAGCCGGGCTGAATTGAAGATTTCCTAACGGAAAACTTAATTCAGCCGGGCTGAATTGTAGATTTCCTAACGGAATCTTAATTCAGCCGGGCTGAATTGAAGATTTCCTAACGGAATCTTAATTCAGCCGAGCTGAATTGAAGATTTCCTAACGGAAAACTTAATTCAGCCGAGCTGAATTGAAGATTTTCTAGCGGAATCTTAATTCAGCCGGACTGAGTTGAAGATTTCCCAGCGGAATCTTAATTCAGCCGGGCTGAATTGAAGATTTCCTAACGGAATCTTAAGGCAGCCGGGCTGAATTGAAGATTTCCTATCGGAAAGAATTAATGAATTTCCCCACATACTTATCACATTCGTACTCTCCGGCGATGACGGGCCTGAGACATCCAGTGAAGCATCGGCCGTATGTTGACGAATCCTCTTATAGACTCTCTTCAGATTGGAGACCTTGTTATAAATTCGCCCGCGTCTGCCGGTCCTATAGAATTCTTCCCGCTCTGTGGGAAACATTTCCACAATTTGGGATTCCAGATTACTGCTTTGCCCCAACGACAAAGTGCAACCATGGGCTTCTATGTACCGAGCTATAACATTGATCAAGGCGGTACGATGTTCCTCTCTCAAGACTTTGTGCTCTTCGTAGTAACGTAAAATCGCTTGGCCATCAAAGGAGGCTTTTAAGATTTTGCTTAAATTATAGTGTTGTGTGGTGGCGTTAGCGCCTGAACTTGACGAGGGTGTGGAAGAGGTCGGAACAATTGAGGAGTTTGGAATACTTGGAATATGGGAAGTTAAACCACCTACAACTGATCGTTTTGCACCTGTGGAGGCAATCCTGAGGAGAATTGGTGGCCGATTTATTCGTTCATCCACATCGTGATTCTCATTCTCCGGCTCATTATTTACTTCCATTGCTTGAGTTCTGCCACACGATTTGGATTGCCTTTTTTGACATTCTATGGCGGGAGCTTCAGGTATTTTGTTAGCCGTCGGTGTCTCATCCAAAAGCTGCAGCTGTCGCCATATCGCCAAACGATGCTCAAAAATTGCCTGATCACCTACCGGCCGATTTGCGAATAACTTTTCAATATGCTGAGGTTTGAGTATCTTGAGAACGGTCAGGGTTATCCTTTGTTCCATAAAATGATTGTAGTGATGTTCCAAATGCCAGGATGTGAGAAGTTTTTTTAGTTCCCCATCGGATAAGCTGTCGGAATGGGTGTCCATAGCTCAAAGTTTGTTGAAGGGTATCTGAAAAAGAGGAAAATAATTTTTGGGGTTGGTAGTGAGAAGAAAATATTTTGGAAAAATCCAAATATATCGGAAAGGAAGACCTTGAGAAATGTTCATAAAAAATTCGCAATAAAAATGCATTGCAAAATCCAAAATATACGAATCCGAAATTAGGGAGTTGCCGTTATATGGGAGCTATACCAAAACATGGATCTGCACATACAATTTTATGTAATAGGCTGTAGCATCCATTACGAACTTCAAATGCCAAATTTCAAACAATTCCGGTGAATAATGTCGCTAAAATCATCCAAATATCGAATATCGGGAGGTTCCGTTATAGGGGGGCTATACTATGGGGCTATACAATTTTCTGTCTAAGGCTGTGGTATCCATTGCGAATTTCAAATACCAAATTTGAAACAAATCCGGGGAATAATTTCGCTAAAATCATCAAAATACCGAATATCGGGAGGTACTCTTATATGGGGCTATACGAAGACGTGAACTTGCACAGACAATTTTCTGTCATAGGCTGTAGTATCCATTACGAACATCAAATACCAAATTTGAAACAATTCCGGTTAATAAATTCCCTAAAATCATCAAAATACCGAATATCGGGAGGTGCCATTATATGGGGTCTATACGAAGACGTGGACCTACATCACCCGTTTTCAATACCAAAAGTCCTGCAGATATAATATACATTTAAGTAAATTTTATCAATTCACTTCATTTCGTTCGGAAGCTAGGGTGATTTCTACAGACGGATTGACGGACGGACATCACTAAATCGACATAGATTTTTATGCTTATCAAGAATATATATACTTTGTGGGTCTAAAATGTATATTTCGAGGTGTTGCAAACGGAATGACAAACTTAATATACCCTCCATACTATGGTGGAGGATATAAAAACCCGATCGAGGCTCAGAAAATCTTGAAAAAAAGTTTTATAGACATTCAATATTTTTGCGCCAGAAAACATTAAGAAAAATGTATAAACAATCCACGATTATTACTCAGAGAGTTCTTGAGAAAATCTTCTTAAAACTTCAACGATTAGGGCTTGAAAAATATTCTTGAAATTTTCCTAAAAAAAATATTCCTAAAAAGATTTTAGCTCTATACCTTCTCATAATTCCAAATGGTACCATTTTATTAGATTAGTACAGTTTTAGAGCTTTTCGTAACAATAAAGTTCGAATTTGCAAACATTCTTTAGAACATCCATCCTGCACTCTATCAATGATTTATTGCAAATTTCAGAATTCAAGCTCATTCTGTTTGTCCACACAAAGTATTCAAATTCTAATACAAAACCCAGTTTAATCACGCGCCTACACACCAAGACTGACCCTCGTGGAAAATTTCATAATCTAGCCTTGCCGTTTCGCCTAGGCGTTACTTCTCGGTCATTCAGTCACTTATTTTACTACTCTTTTCATATATATATAGATATTATATTTATAGTATTTTATAGATGACTATTTTTAATATTTTTGATACTTATTTTCTTATCTCCAACAGTTCCTTGGCTATTTCATTCAGAATGTTTGGGACAACAACGGCGAGCGAGAATTTACCATCTTCATTTAAGCACTTTTTTGCCACTCCTTGTTATTTCACACCGATACACTTCCGAAATAATTGAAAATATATTTTTCTCATGTTGTTTTACTCTTTTCCATAGGTTTTTGCATTGTTTTCTTTATTTAAAATAATTACTTTTTATTACTTTCCCATTTGATCTTGCAAAAACCCATTACAGCCACTTCTTCTTTGCTTCACTTGAATTCACCATAGATTGATAACACACTGCATTGAAGGGGGGCTCAGCGAAATGCATTGTTATTGTTTGATTTAACAAGGCAAAAACAATAGAGACCGGTATTTTATTGGGAGGCACAATGCTCTGAGAGCGAGAGCAAATTTCATTTCATTGATTCATTCGTGTTCTCTTCCCCTATGCATGCAGCAAAGCAACAAGAAACAAACCACTACAGTGTAGTGACTACACTGTAGTTTATTACTGAGTAATGCTTGATATATGTGTGCTCTGAGTAAAGGGATATGGGAGAATAGGTAAATTAACCACCACTCATTGTTATTGTTGTTGCATGAGCAAACGAGACGATGTATACACAAAAATATTCGCCAACGTACGAAAGCAAGCAATGGAAATAGAGTTGTAAATCAACAATCATGGATTTCATTGAAATAAAACAATAAATATTAGTATTCTACGGTGTTATTTAAAGAAAATAAACTATTACATGTTTATTTTATAACCTTCTTATTGGAATATTTTTTTTCATTACCTTCAATTTAATAAAGCAACTTTGTTATTTAGAGTTAAACTTCAACAAATAACAACAGACGGCTCGCACTTTGCGTTGATGAAACACGGCGTAGACTGACAACACATTTCATTGAATGGCTAAGCATTGTGTTACATTGCTTTTTGGCGGAATTTATCTGGCAGATGAATGCGAGAGAGAGAGCGTGAATGGTGAAAAAAAAGAGTTTTGGCCAATATCTCAAGAGAGAGGGAGTTAAAAAAATGGAATTTCAATGGAAAAGCAATGAAATGGGATTTGTTATAATGTTTTTGTTAAATTGATGAATGGTTTACTTCGTGGAAAATTAAAAAATAATAAAGGTTGATTGAACAGTTGAAAGAAAAACTTAATAAAATTAAATTAAGAGAAAATAAAAAAATATAAAATTTTTAAAAATCGTAGACTGTTTAAAAAAATCTAAAAATGTAGAAAAAAATAAATATGTTGAATTCTTGAGAAATGAAAAAAAAAAATACCGGGATTTTTTTAAGCATTGCGTTTACGTTGGTTTTTGGCGGAATTTATCTGGTAGATGAATGCGAGAGAGAGCGTGAATGGTGAAATAAAAAGAGTTGTGGACAATATTTCAAGAGAGAGAGAGGGTGTTAAATAAATGGAATTTCAAAGGGAATGCAATGAAATGGGGTTTGTTGAAATGTTTGTTAAATTGATGAATGGTTTACTTCATGGAAAATTCACAAAATAATTAAGGTTGATTGGAGAACTTAATAAAAAAAAATTAAGAGAAAATAAAAAAAACATACAGTTATTAAAAATCGTAGACCATTAAAAAATGTGAAAATCTAGAAAAAATAAATATCTTGAATTCCTATGAAATGAAAACATTTTTGGCGGGATTTTTTAAATTATTTCTTCAATCATTGTTTTAAAAAAGATATTCAAGGCATTTGAGTATTTCGAGCATTGACTTTGATTGATCGATATTTTATAATAAAAACAAATTAAGACACAAAAAAAACATGAAATTCTTAAAAATCTCAAAAATTAAACTGATTTTGATCGATCGATTGAAAGTCATAATAAAAATAAATTAAGAGAAAATAAAAAAAAATAAAAATCGCACAGTGTTGGCTTGTTTGTTCGGGATACCATAGTATTTTGTTGTTGCAAAATGGTCAGACTTAATCCCTTTTTTATTGTTTTTTTAAAAACAACGTTTGTTTATTAGTGGAGAACGTCACTTGGGTAAAAAAATGTTTTTTTGTCATAGAAGTTATTTATAAAATAACTTCTGGGCAGAATATACCAGACGAAAAGGATTGGTGGCTCTTTCCTAGGTATTCCCTGCCTTACCCCCTGGGAAAAAATTACCATCGTTCTTCACTAATAAAAAAGGGGTTAAGCCTGATCATTTTGCAACAACAACAACAAAAACCTTAAAAAATCATAAATTATAAAAAAATGAAAATCTGGAAAAAATTAAATGGCTTAAATTCGTAAGAAATAAAAACACTTTTTTAGGGAATTTTTTGAAATATTTTTTTAAAGCATCGTTTAATTTTCTTTCAAAAGTGAATTTTTTAAAATAGTTATTTAAGATCTTGGATTTTTTTGAGGGAATATTTTTTCAAAATTTCCAGATATTTTTAAAAATATTTTCAATATTATATTTTCAATATTATATTTTCAATATTATATTTTCAAAAGAAAATATTAGACAAAATCGAAAAAAATAAAATTCTCAAGAAATCCTCGATGATTGTCTTTTTGTAGGGATTTTTTGAAATTTTTTTTCAGCATCGTTTAATTTTTTTTCAAAAGTGAATTTTTTAAAATAATCTTTTTAAATTTTTGATTTTTTTTCGAGGGAAGATTTTTTCAAAATTTCCAGATATTTTTTAAAATATTTTTAATGCCTCAAAAATAAAATATTAGACAAAATGGAAAAAAATTATATTCTCCAGAAATCCTCGA